GCGATCACCAGGTCTTCATTTCTTCATTCCTTTTGCACATTAGTGTCCATGCTTCGCTCATAAATCCAAATACCTAAAAATTTGGAATTTTACATCAGTTATTAGCACAAAACATGCTTTGAGTACACTAAATCTATTAAAATAAATCCCTAAATGAGTCCAAATCATGGACTCATCAACACCCCTAACTAAAATTTTGCTTGTCCTCAAGTAAAACTCAAGTTCAGCAGTTCAAAAAGGATGTCTGAAACAATGCTACACAAGACTCAATCATGAATGCACACAAAAAGACTCAATTTACCCATGCAAGGATCAATTGTGCAATCAAAGATTCAAGTTGTGACTCACCACTATCAAAGATTCTCAAGTACACAATACTTGCTTCAAATGCAAGTTCAAGCTCAACAAAATTACTAAAATGCCCTCACACAAAGAATGATTCCATATTCACACACAATGGTTCACAATTGAAAGCTCCGGAATCAAATGCAACACTCACACTTACAAAGATGAAGACAATGCATGATTTCACCTATAGGTTTTCCCTTATTTTTCAATCAACAATTGTTTCAGCTCACTCAAGATCAAAATGGTCTTTTCAAGGTTTGTAACGGGGCTGAGTGCAAATGTATGGTTATTTAGGCTCAATGGTTGCAATCCTCATGAAATGTGGTGTGAACAATACTTTCTTTCCTTTTCTTCATCATTCTCATTCATGCTCACAAGTCACCCCATTATTCATCTTCCCTGGACTGTTGGATACCCTATTTTCTTTGCATTTTCTCAACTTTATTCCACAACTTTTTCGTTCGTTTTCTTTTTCCTTCTTTTCTTTTTTTCTCTATTTTTTTATATGGAGGGGTTCCATTTTTCTCAAACCATGGGTCAAAGGGAACTTTCTTGCACTTCTTAATTTACCTTTTCTTTTGACCACACCCCAAGGCCTAAGTTGGCTATTCACGCAAACCACAAATCATGAGGATTATGGGTAATGGATCAAGAAAGGTCATGATTTCTTTAAGTGTCTTCCAATAAAAGGTTAACGCTCAAAGGGTGTTCAAAACGGAGTTCACATACTCACAAGGTAGGCCACAAAAGAAGGTATAATGTCAAATTGTTTCACACTCTTCAAAATTGCCTAAGATCATATCAAGAGATTGCATCACTTAGTCAACCGGACCAATGAAGCAAATTCTAGGTGTCATCACACATGGTTCATAGTAAGCTCATCACACACAAGACATTGACACCAATGTCAAACAAGACTCCACACTTTTGCTAGTGTGCAATGTTCATCACAAGAGACTTAATTTGATACTTTGCAAGTCACACCGAGATGCAAAAAGTTACAATATTCTCTATGCAAATTCATTTGGCCTCATCGTAGTCGCACATTCATTTTTGTCCGATTATGAGCACTATTCAAGTCATCTGTATTGATGACGATTGATACTGAAATTTGCAAGAGAACAACCACATTCAAACACAAACAAACATAAAGAGGACGGGGTTCACTCACCAATTGCCACCCCCACCAAAAGCATTCAACATTGTCTTCAATGTGGTTAGAGAATGGGCATCGCGGTAAATAAGATAAAATAAGGATAATAAAGAAAAACTAACAAGAACTGATAACATTCTAGTGTTTAGACAAGTAGAACAAGGTAACAAGGGATCTTCACTAAGCGCCCATTTGGCGAGAGAGTGAACCGATCGTAGAATGCTTCGGTGATGTGCGCAATGATCTTCAGATCTCTCTTTGTTCCAGTGGGCTGCACTCTTAGAGAATGGCATATCGAAAAAGATGTGGGAGGTAGCCGAACTGATCGGTGACTCATATAATGGACTCAGAACATCGCCGAGCGATCCTAGAGGGACGTTGTCAGCGTTGAAGTAAAAGGGCGAGAAAAGTCGGGTCACCTAAGCACATCAGCGACACGCCAAATGGTGAAGGTATCCCGCCGAATGTTCCAGAGTCTCAACCCATTTTTGAGGTCCATAAGGTGAACCAAATCGTGCTCGCCAAAAGGGTTCGGTGACTCACCAATAGAAATTTTATCTCGCTCATGATCCAGGCCCTGCAAAATCAACACACATTATTTAAAACACTAACACTTGGGTTGCCTCCCAAGAAGTGCTTTATTTAACGTCGTGGAACGACGTGGAAATGCTCTCAAGCATCTTCTAGGTATACCACCTCAATCAAAGAAATCTCCTGGCATTCTCCAAAGTATAATTTCAAGCGTTGCCCATTCACCTTAAATGTAGGTCCTTCTTGACCCTCAAATTCTATGGCACTACTTATGAATACTCGTGTCACTCAAAATGGTCCTTACCATTTGAACTTGAGCTTTTCGAGAAAGATTCTAAGTCGGGAGTTGTATAGTAACACCCAATCTCCCATCTTGAACTCTCTCTTAAGTATTTTAGCATTATGCCACTTCTTCATGTTTTCCTTGTAGATAGCTGAACTTTTGTAAACTTTGAACCTGAATTCGTCCAACTCATTTAACTGCTCTACTCTCTCTTTTGAGGTTTTTATCCAGTCCAAATTCAAAGCTTTCAATGTCGTTCCAATTCGACTGGTAGATGGCAAGACTTCTAAAAACTAGCTGATACAGAGACATAACGATTTGTTTTGTATGCGATGTGATACTCCCATAGTGCATCATCAAGCTTTCGAGACCAATCAGTCCTACTAGCATTCACTGTCTTAGCCAAGATGCTATTGATATCCCCGTTTGACACTTCAACTTGACCGCTTGTTTGAGGATGATATGGAGTTGGTACCTTGTGTTTCACCCCATACTTACTCAATGTAGCTAAGAACCATTTATTACAAAAGTGGGATCCACCATCACTAATGATAGCTCTAGGAGTACCGAATCTAGAAAAGATGTAGCGTTTCAGCAATTGAACCACACTTTTTCCTTCATTGTTTGGAAGTGCAACAGCTTCCACCCATTTAGAAACATAATCTACTGCCACCAAGATATACTTATTACCAAATGAACTAAAAAATGGGCCTATGAAATCTATTCCCCAAACATCAAATAGCTCAATTTCTAAAATGGGAGTAAGGGGTAACTCGTGTCTTTAGACACTCCACCTTGTTTTTGACATTGAGCGCATTTCTTCAAAAATGTGTGCGCATCCTTGTAGATGGATCGCCAGTAATAGCCACTTTGGAGAACTTTAGCAGCTGTATGCACACCGCTATGATGGCCCCCAACCGGTGAAGCATGACAACCATAGAGAATTTCTACCGCTTCTTCTTCCGGAACACATCTTCTAATGATATGGTCTGCACACTCTCGAAACAAGTATGGTTCATCCCAAAAATACTTTTTAACGTCGAATATGAACCTCTTTTATTGGTAGAAGTGCAACTCATCCTGCATTAATCCGCACACTATGTAATTGGAGAAATATGCATACCATGGAGTTTTTTTGAGAGTTATCGCAAAAACTTGTTCATCGGGGAAAGAATTGTCTATATCAACCTCAAGCTCGTTATTCTCCTTGCCCTGTAATCTTGATAAGTGTTCAGCCACCTAATTTTCGTAACCTCTTCTATCTTTGACCTCAAAGTCAAATTCTTGCAATAGTAGCACCCACCTTATCCACCTTGCTTTGGCATCCTTCTTTGCCATTAGGTAACGGAGTGCAGCATGATCAGTGTGAATAGTTACTTTAGTGCCTAACAAGTATGCTCAAAATTTCTCAAATGCATAGAATACCGTAAGCAACTCTGGTTCAATAACTGTATAGTTACGTTGAGCACTGTTTAGAGTCTTGCTCGCGTAGTAAATTGGGTGAAATAGTTTGTTGTGTTTTTGCCCCAACACAACACCCAATGCCGTTCCACTTGCATTACACATTACTTCGAAAGATTCTGACCAACCAGGACTAATAATGACCAGGGTGGATACTAATTTCTCCTTCAAGCACTAGAAAGCAACCATACAAGCATTATCAAATTGGAATTTCACCACTTTCTATAAGAGTTTGCATAGAAGATGTGCAATCTTTGAGAAGTCTTTGATGAACCTCCGATAGAAACCGGCATGACCTAAGAAACTACGAACCCCCTTCACCGAAATTGGTGGTGGTAATTTCTCAATCACTTCAATCTTCATTTTATCAACCTCCAGCCTCTTTTGCGACACCTTGTGACCAAGTAATAACCCTTTTTTAACCATGAAGTGATATTTTTCCCAATTGAGGACAAGTTTCTCTCCACATATCTTTGGAGAATTTGTCCTAAGTGTTCTAAACACGCCTCAAAAGTATCACCCACAATCGAGAAGTCATCCATAAACACCTCCATTGAATCCTCCACCATGTCAGCAAAAATAGATAGCATGCAACGTTGAAAGGTTGCCTGGGCACTGCATAATCCGAATGACATCCCTTTAAATGCAAAAGTCCAATAGGGACATGTGAAGGTGGTTTTCTCTTGGTCTTCAAGAGCAATGGAGATTTGGTTGTAACCAGAATACCTATTCAAAAAGCCATACCAACATCTTTCTGAGAGTCGATCAAGCATTTGATCTATGAAGTGCATGGGAAAGTGATCTTTTTCAGTCTATGAGTTTAACTTTCGGTAATCCATGCATACCCTCCATCCGGTCACCGGCCTCATAGATAAAAGTTTCCCCTTTTCATTCGGGACCACTGTGATACCGCCCATTTTTGGCATATATTGCACTGGGCTTACCCATTTGCTATCCACAATAGGGTAGATCACAACTGCGTCTAAGCACTTTATTATCTCCTTTTTCACTACTTCTTGCATTGGTGGGTTCAATCTCCATTGATGTTCAATACTCAGTTTACACTCACTATCAAGCTAAATTTTGTGAGTGCAGATACCTAGAGTTATGCCCACTATGTTAGCTATGGTCCAACCTATAGCGTTGATATGCCTTCATAACATCTCAAGAAGCAATTTCACCTGCCATTCAAGAAAGTCAGCAGTAATCATCACCGGTAGAGTATTATTTTCCCCCAAGAAAGCATATCGGAGATAGGGGGAGTGCTTTCAATTCCAGATTTGGTGGATATTCTGTTGATGGCTTTGCGGGAGGACTCTCTCTATTTTTCAAATCAATGTCCAATTTCAATGGAGTCTTTGAATACCCTCCCAAGCCTGAAAGAGTAGCCACTTCCTCTTCATAGCCTTGAATTTCGAATTCATCATAGTTAGCAATCACGACTTCAAGAGGTTTGCTCATGCATATCAAATGGCTCACGCTAGCCACCGCCTCATCAATAACATCAACGGTGGACACAAAATGGATATCACTTGGGTGTTTCATTGACTTACAAACATTGAAGGTCACTTCATCTTCATTCACCCGAAATTTCAATTCTCCACTTTCAACATCCACCAATCCTCTTTCGGTTGCTAAGAATGGTCTTCCTAAAATAATGGTAATTTCAGCATCTATTTCACAATCGAGAATGACAAAATCAGTCGGGAAAATGAACCGATCAACCTTCACCAAGATGTCGTAAAGGATCCCCACGGGATGTTTGATTGAATGGCCAGCCATTAAGAGTCTTATTGTGGTTGCTTTTGGTTCCCCCAACCCAAGTTGTTTGTCTATCGCATAGGGCATTAAGTTGATGCTTGCCCCCAAATCGCATAAAGCTTCAGAGAATTGGAGCATGCCAATGGTGCAAGGAATGGTGAACGCCCCAGGATCTTCTCTCTTTTTTATCAACTCCTTAGTCATAATTGCACTGCAACTATGGGAAAGTTCAATTTTCTCAAAATCCAAGCTCCTTTTCTTTGTGACCAACTCTTTCATGAACTTGGCATATCCTGGCATTTCCAACAATACTTCTACAAGGGGGAGATTAATTGATAATGTCTTAAACACCGCTAAGAAATTCTTGAACTTCTCATCCTCATTCTTCTTCTTTAGGCATTGAGTAAATGGGGGAGGGATTTTGGGTAAAGGTTGCATGACTTTTGGGATTGGAATGTGTTGTTCCACTTCTCTTTGTGGTTCTTTGGCAATGCTTTGATGGATATGTATCTCTTGTTCCTCCATGCCTTTATCTTCTTCATGTTTTTGAGGTTCTTCATTTCCCATCACATCACCTATTGTTACCTTTCCGCTACGAGTAACCATAACTAGCTCTTGATTGTCATCTTCCATTGTGAACTTTGGTTTCAATTGTGCTGAAAGTAAACTCAACTAACCTTCAAGTATCTTGATTGCATCTGCATGAGAGTTCACTTTACTGTTCAATGATGAGAAATCATCTTTCATCCCCTTCAACAAATCATCTGAACCTTCAACTTTATCAAGTATGCGGGTCAACAAATCATTCACTCGGGGGCTACTTGCACTCCCTTTTGATTTTGGGCTTTTACTGGCGTAATAATGGCCCTCTTCGTGGTCATCTTCCCTTCTCCAATCATAACTTTGCTCAACCCAATCTTGATAGTACCTCCGTTGCTCTTCTCCCTTGTGATAGTTCCAACCTTGATTCCCACTTTGCTGAAAATAGCGTGGGTGGGAATCCTCCTCGTATCTCTTGGAGTTCCAACCTTGATTCTCTCCCGGCTTTGAATAACCAGAGCAAGAACCCTCCTCAACTCTAGACATTCCACTTTTCCTCCTCGATTTGTCTGGATTCTTCATCATGTGCTCTTGTAAAAGCTCTATTTGGGTTAACATTTTCTTGATGTTTTCATCCCTCTCTCTTTCCTTATCAAGTTGTTCTTGCGTCATTATAAAGCAAAGAGAAGAGACTTGATCCTCACGAGTGTAGCAACCCTGGTGTATTTTCGTCATGTCTTCAAGAAGAAATGAAGCTACCTCAAAGGATTATAACATTATTCCTCCTTGTAACAATTGATCAGCCATTCCTTTATTAACCGAATCAAGACTCCAGTAAAAATATTGGAGTAGAAAATCATTTGGTAGCCCATGAGTTGGACATTTAAGTAAGATTTTGTTAAACCTTACCCACGTATCATGGATGGGTTCTCCCTCCCATCGCTTGAAACCTTGAATATTGTCTCTAAGTTTAATCATCCTTGATGGAGGAAAGAACCTTGTATTGAATGCTTTAATCAGCTCCTCCCATGATGTGATGGAATTGTTTGGTAACTCGGCTAACCACTTGCTCTCCCGTTAGGGATAGCGGGAACAACCGAAGCTAAATTGACTCTTGGGTCATATTCTTGAACGAAAATGGGCTGCATACCTCTGTGAATTTTCTTACATGTTCATGTGGGTCTTCGTGCTCCAGTCCTCCATATAGTCCCCTCATTTGAAGGAGGTGAAGAGTTGTGCTAGTGACTTCAAATGTTTCATTTCCATCAGCTTGTGGTATGCGAATTGCACCCATTTCACCTGTTTGAGCTGGGTTGTAAACACTATTGAGATCATCCATACCCAGCCCTAATCGGAAGATGCCCAACCCTATGTCCTCATCAAATCCACTCTCTCGAGCTGGATGCAAAGGATCCCATATTTCACTCTCTCAAGCTGAAATCATGGTAACCCACAACTAAGGATGCTAAGTTTGCTACTTTGGCTCTACACCTCTCTCTCGAGCAAGCACAAAACACTGAATTTGTCACACTAACCATGCAAGACGACCTCAAAATGCAACAACAACTCAGACCCACTTCAAATTAACCCCATTATTCACAATTCAACGACACCCACTTAGTGGAACTCAACAATTGGCTTCATAGTCAAAACCCCAAAAGAAGGGTTTTAGCCACTCATAGCAAAAATAAGAAAATCAGCATCTGCCATCTTTTCCACAGCTGGGTAATAGAAATTCAAAAGTTAGAAATTACTAAAATCTGTTCTTTTACAAAATCTCAATCATGAATCTTGCTAAAATTCCTTGAAACTACTATGATAATGTTGTTGCTGTCAATTGTCTATTTCTCTTCTCAATGTCTTTCTCTCTCTATCCAAAATTAATTTAAACAAGTCTGATGTATAACTGTTTTAGACCACTTGGCGAGGTAAGTCGGGCTTCGCCGACAGATCAGCGACTCACCAATTGTTCTTTATGTCACCTTCATTTTTCACTTGTTCTTGATCCGACTACTGTAACTTTAGGTGATCTAGATCGGGGTCATTAAATAATTCCACGAGTCTCCCTTTTGCCTTCTATCTCGCTCATCAGCACTTGTTTGAATCTTCTTCAGGACTTTTGGCGACCTAGTCGTCCTTCGCCGAATGGATAGGCAACATGCCAAATGGAATTGCTGCTTGCCGAAGTTAGCCCTTATTTAGCTCCAACATTCTGTAACTTTAGGCTGTATCGTGGGAATTTGGCGATTCACCGAGTGACATCGGCAATCACCTGGTCTTCATTTCTTCATTCCTTTAGCTTGCTTTGTTCTTTTTTGCACATTAGTGTCCATGCTTCGCTCATAAATCCAAATACCTGAAATCAGGAATTTTAAATCAGTTATTAGCACAAAACATGAATTTGAGTACACTAAATCTATTAAAATAAATCCCTAAATGAGTCCAAATCGTGGACTCATCACCAATAACAAAATCCATGGCTATCCTTTCCCACTTCCATTCAGGAATTGTCATTCTTTGAAGCAAACCTATAGGCCTTTGGTGTTCATACTTCCCTTGTTGGCAATTTTGACACTTAGTCACAAACTCCGCTATATCGTTCTTCATGTCCGGCAACCAATAAATTCGCTTCAAATCTAGCTACATCTTGGTCACACCCAGATTAATGGAATATCGAAAACCATGAGATTCTGCCAACAATTTCTGAATCAAGTCATCAACTCGAGGAACACAAATTCTTCCTTTAAAAGTGAGCACACCTTCTGCATCAAGAGTGGTCTCTTGTGTCTTACCACTCACAGTCTTCTTCTTAAGTTCATTCAAATTCTCATCCTCAAATTGCTTGGCCTTGATCTCTTCAATGAATGTGGCCCTCACTTCAATGCTAGCTAACACCCCACCTCTTTCTGAGATGCCCAACTACACGAACTTAGACTCTAAGGTATGAATTTCCTTAGCCAAAGGTCACTTGGTTACACTTAAGCAAGCTAAACTACCCATAATCACCATTTTTGAATGGTGACATCATAATCTTTAAGTAACTCCATCCACTTTCACTGTCTCAAATTCAGATTCTTTTGAGTGAACACATGCTACAAACTATGATAATCATTAAACACTTCACACTTAACACCATAGAGGTAATGTCGCCAGATCTTAAGAGAAAACACTACTACTGCCAACTCCAAATCATGTGTTGGATAATTCCTCTCATGCAACTTTAATTGACGTGAGGCATAAGCTATAACATTCTTATCCTGTATCAACATAGCACCCAAGCGAGAATGTGAAGCATCAAAATAAACAATAAAATCTTTACCTTCAATCGACAATACTAGGATGGGTGTGGTGATCAAAAGAGTCTTGAGCTTTTGGAAGCTCTCCTCACATTTTTTAGTCCATTCAAATGGTATCTCCTTTTTAGTTAATTAGTCAAGTAAGTGGCAATAATAGCAAAGTTCTTCACAATTCGACGATAATAGCTAGCGAGCCCCACAAAACTCCTAACTTCAGTCACAGAGCTAGGCCGAACCCAATTCTTCACCGCCTCAATCTTTTGAGGATCTACCATTATCCCTTCTTTTGAAACTACATGTCCCAAAAATACAACCGAAGTCAACCAAAATTCACATTTAGAGAATTTACCATATAACCTTTGTTTCCTAAGAACAACTAGAACAATACGAAGATGGTCAGCATGCTCTTCCTCAGTTTTTGAATAGACCAAAATATCATCAATAAAGACTATGAAGAATGAATCAAGAAATGACTTGAACACCTCATTCATCAAACTCATAAAAGTTGCAGGCGCATTAGTCAAACCAAAGGACATAACTAGAAACTCGTAGTGCCCATAGTGGGTTCTAAACACCATCTTGGGCACATCCTCAGGCCTAATTTTCAATTGGTGGTAGCCATACCTTGGATCAATCTTGGAGAAAACTGATGCACCTTGCAATTGGTCAAAAAAATCATCTATTCGAGGCAAAGGATACTTGTTTCGAATAGTTACACTATTCAATTGCCGATAATCTATACACATTCTCATACTACCATCATTTTTCTTAACAAACAAAACTGGAGCACAGCATGGGGACGCACTAGGATGAATAAATCCCTTATCAAGAATCTCTTGGATTTGTGCCATACGCTCTCCTAATTCTACCGGAGCCATGCGATATGGAGGGATAGAAATGGGGCGGGTACCGGGTTCTAAATCAATGCATAAGTCTATATCTCTATCCGGAGGCATACGAGGCAAGTCATTAGGAAAGACTTCTCTAAATTCTGACACTGCATGAATAGACTCGATAGATAGAGTCTCAACCTCAACATCCCTAATATGAGCCAAATAAGCCAAACAACCTTGCCCTACCAATTTTCTAGCCTGAATGGAGGATATTATCTTAACTTGCTTAGGCTTGTACACTCCTTCCCACTCTAATTTTTCCCTTCCCGGAATTTCTAGAGTTACAGACTTAGTAATACAATTAAGCACAACATAATAGGGGGACAACCAAGTTATGCCTAAGATTATATCAAAGTCAGTCATATCCAAAATCACCAAATCAGCCTAATTCTGAAAGCCCATTAACAAAATAGGACAAGCACGATAGACATGGGTGACTATGACCGACTCTCCAACTGGGGTAGAAACATGAATGGGGGCATCAAGTATATCACAAATCATAGAAAATTATGAGGCAAATTGCACAGATACATATGAATAAGTAGAACCGGATCAAATAACACATTAGCCATCCAGTCACAGACAAGAATAGTACCTGTGATCACTGCGTCAGACACCTCTGCCTCATTCTTTCCCGGAAAGGCATAACACTGAGCCCTATCATCTTGACAATCTACTTCCCTGACTGGTTGCACTTTACCCATACATGGGTTACCATTTCCTCAACCTCCACGGCCTCACTGATTACCTCCTCTCCCACCTTGTGGATGCCCTTGGCCATTATTACCATTTCCCATGGGTACCACTACTCTAGTTGCTGTGGTGCGAAATCCAACACATGTGGTTGGGGAAAATCTCTCCTCATTTGCCTGGGTTCTCCACAATTATAGCAAGTATGATCAAA